TATATATATATAAACCTTTATTTATTTGTTTATCTTTCTATTTTTTATACTATGGCTGGGATGGATTATTGAATTCCAATTTCCATTAATTTAGAAAAAGGAGAAAGACTTGACCCAAATTCACTTTGATGCTACACATCATGGGAGTTCTGGGCACAGATACATGAGCATCACTTCTTTTTTTGCTTGTTGCAAAGGAATCCGCTTTCCCAAAGGAGCGCTGTTATTTGTTAGTATATTGGAAGCAGTTCCCAAATCAGTTGAACCAGCAGTTCTAAAGCGATTTAGACTGTTTTGTTTAAATCTGTATCTCTAAGTCGTGGGGATCAATAAGCTTAAGAATTTTTATTCTGAAAATCCTCGTCTTCTTTTCACCGCAGCCGCTTAAGAAAGGGTCGCAATTTTCAATGGATCACCGCAGCGCAGATGCATGTGAACAATTAATCAGTTACCAACCTAAGTTAAAATTGACAGATCCTGAACCGAAAGGCAACGTTTGCGATTATCCAGTTGAAGTTGGCGAGTGTTCTGGTATTTTTACACGTTATGCTTTTGATCCATCATCAAAGGAATGTAGGAAGTTCACTTACGGAGGATGTGGAGGAAACGGAAACAACTTTGCTACTATTGAAGAATGCTCGCGAACTTGCTTGCTAGGTTTATCGCTTCAAAAAATTACATTTTGAGATCCTCTTAATTAACGTCTTTACAGCCAACTAAATGATGCATTAGTTTGCCTAGTGATACTTTCTGGTTTGAGTGCCTCCTAAAACTTTTTATTTATTATCGCATATTTAGACGAAACAGCTCATCCTATACCACAGCGGCCACAGCCCGAGAGCTCTGTGATGCAGCAGGAAGAAGGGGTAGAATCCGTCACCGCAACAACAACAACGCCATCATCATCTAATGTTCCGAATCCATCAAATCAAGGTCCAAGACCTTTATACGTTCCCTCTCCTCGTATAAAATTTTTTCGGAGTGTTGGTCGTTTTTATCATTTGCTTGCTGTTGTGAGCCTACAGTTTAATCTTTAGTCACATCGGAAAGCGAGAATGATGAGGAAAATTCGACAGTAGACGATATATCTAATGGTAAATATCCTCTGGGGGATAAATGTACGCAACCCGTAGTGAGTTTCGAACAGCATCGCTGTTATTTGGCCATTATTACCAGACAGTGGGAGACAGGGCTAAAAAAATGCGTTTCAGGAGCCGGGACCATGTACAAATTTCGTCGTAAGGTACTATTACAATAATAATAGTGGTAACTGTGAAGCTTTTAAATACGGAGGATGTGCAGGAAATAAAAATCATTTCTTCACTCGCAAAGAGTGTGAAATCCATTGTGCTCGTTTCTCAAGTCAGTTATTTTTTCTTTATACTAAATATCTGTAAATGTTGCTTTCGCATCGTGCTAAGACATAAGGATTCGAAAGTTTTTACAAACATTTCCATATGGGACTCCAAATTGAGATCTTGCTGACAGGTTGTCCAGGAGTGATAATATAACCATTCTAGGAGTTTTAGCCATTCTTTTTTTTAGAGAAGCTTTCGGAGGGCCAAATGGGAGAGGGCAAAGTAAACAACGTACCAGGTACAAATCGAGTATCAATTGAAGGGCAAGTAATTGCTCCAAATAATCGTCCAAGAACCGAAACAAGTCAGTTTTCATCAAAACTGCGAGGCGGCACAATCAATAAAATTGTGGAAACATTTGTAGCTTTAAAATGACACTTCTTATTTTCAAAAAAGTACATTTAACATCTACTACTTGAAGCAAAAACGTTTCAACCGCCTGAAAGGCACACTACTCTTTTGACACCGTTTTGTAATTTCCAAAAGAACCAATTTTATACTGGGTTAAGTTACCGTTTTTTTTTTGCCAAATCATGAACGGTATCTGATTTTCGTAATCTTTCGATTAAAAATAAAAATTTTAATCAAAACTCTTTAAACGCAGGCCAATTACAACGCGAATTTGATTAATTTGATTCAAAAAAGTTCTTGACAGTTGTAAAAAAATTGTTTCACCAAAACTTTCATAAATATATTCAAATAAATGTGCTGCAAAGGTCGAGTTTCAGATTTACATTCAGCCGTTGAAACTACCACATACTCTTCAAGTTCTGAAATAGCTCGGGAGATTGAGGAAGTTGAAAGAAATGTGCAAGGAACGAGTCCAATGCCAGATGAAATGACTCTGCCACCAGAATTTTCGACAGGCTTCACTAGCGAAACTGCGGACACTTTGATAACAGCGGCAACTGAGCTGGCCAACGACTCTTACAGTTCTGCTAATTATAAGCCAACTGAAGTTGTAGCCCATTCTATGAGCGAAATGACACCTGAGCCGGTCACAAAACCAGAATCTGTCATACAAGAGTACGAAAAGCATGGTGGAAGTGCAGTTCTCACAACGAAGAATCCAGAACAAGGTATTTCGTAAAGTATGAATAATACAATCGGTTAAAAATGTGCTTTCTTTTTCTTGAGAGCGAGACCAGGCATGATATTTCCGTACGGATCAATAAGTTGTTTGGCTTAAATGCACTATATTTACTTTATGACGCTAGACATTCTGCTAACTTCTACGGGCATTAGTACAGGATGTTAACATCACCGAAAATTGCCATACGATACTCTTTTGTTAATATATAAGGAAACGATTAAATCCAGCTGCATTTCTTTCACAGTTATAAATCAATGAAGTTGCAGCTGTTTAGAAATGATTTTAAACTAACTTGACACCTTAACTTTATGGTTTTTTGTTAAGAATCTTGAGAAGAAATCAAACAAAAACTTCAGACTCATATACTGAAATTAATCTTTGATATCTCAAACTGCTTTTCGCCGCAGCTGTTAGCGACATTTCTAATGAGGTCTTTGGGCTTGTAAAGGCTCTGCTAAAGTTTCATCGGATAGGGCTTTTTATGCGTCTCAAATTTCTGAAAAGAGGTTCTTAGAAGACCAGTGTATTTGTAAATTTTGAGTCTTACAACACTGGTAAAAGAGCTTCCCTTGTAAGTTCTAAGAACTTTGCGAGAAGCCGCTATACCGAAGCGAAGGCAACGAGATAAAAAGTAACACCGGGGATGTAAAATAAACAAAAAAGTTTTATTTATTTATTTTAGGAGGCTTAGTCTGTACTTGCTTACCTCTATTGTTCATAAAAAGTGGTTTTTATATATTCACAAAGCTCCAAAAGCCACGTTTTCTCTTTATTCCTATGTGTGCATTGTTTCTCGCATGCTTAGAAATTCCGCGTCATATGATGCTCTTTTAATACTCTCTTATCTGTTTTCTCTCGCTTGTTTCTTTACAGTCAGTCCCTGCCACAACTCTAATCATTTCTCTTAAAGCGAGGGGGTATGGAGTTTATAAATTTTACGAAATTCCTATGAATGTTTAAAAATTACTCAATAGTTTATCCATTCGTGCCTGCACATGTTTTTTGTCTCCGGGCAGTAATGATTTTCTGTGCATATCCTAGACAGGCATTTTAAACTACAAAATTTCTTCCCGAAAAAATTAAGCTATTTCAGCCGACAACGTGACGTGGCGAAACAGCGAGATTTTTTAGAGTTTAAATTTAAGAGGAGAAAAACAGAGTTTGAACAGAGATTTCTGAGAAGCCATATTTGTACAAAATTTTCTCCATAATAGTTTTTATCTAATTTCACTCCTGTAAGATGGTTTAGAAGCGTCCCTGCCCACAACTGGGTGCAGGTCACAGCAGTATCACTCATTTTGAGAAATACTGTTGTAAGTGTTACAAATGATTGGCAGTAATTACGTTGTTCATAAGACTAATTACTGCTTACGCTGCTTTCTAAACCGGTTTTGAAACTGTAGCTACTAAAATTTTAAGACTTTTTCGTTGAAACCAGAAAATGTAGCCCAGATCGCTTCACATAAAAGGATATATAACACAGGTCAGGAGTGCAACAGTTCAAACGTAGTTTTCGTTATTGTATAACGGAAGAAGTTCTGCTGATCTGCTATGAATTTAGTAGTTCTTTCAGGGACCTTACAGAGGAAAATCAGAAGAGCTCTAAATTTGAAATGTATTTTAGCAAAGTTTGAGTAAATACGAGTTTGATAGAGAACTAGCAAAAAACTAGCAACTGAAATTTACATAAACCTTTTGTAGCTTTCACCACTTTTTAATTAAAACTCGCTAGCACGATAGCGCAACAACCTTATTAATCGAGTTGGTGAATATCATTATCAACTCCTCTAATTCTGCATTTTCAGAAGAAATTTTTACCGGCAAAGAAGTCGAAGGAAGTTATATAGAAGGAACAATATCAAAAATGAGGCCAGAAAGTTCCAAACCTGTACCTCCTCGTCCGGCAGGTACAGCGATCGATCAGAGACCTAATCTGTCTGGGCCTCTATCAACTGTTTACGACAGAAGGAACCCTAGCCGCATAGTTTCATCACTAACTGAGCAGAGGGTAGACGGAGGTCGACCAGTAACAACGGTTATTGATCAGAGGACTAACCAAGTACCTCCGCGAGTCAATAATGGAGATGTCTGTATCCTACCTCCAGATGCCGGCAGTTGTAATGACTACATACCACGGTGGTTCTACAACTCTCAGTCAGGACGCTGTGAACAGTTTTCGTACGGGTCATGTGGCGGAAATTCTAATAACTTTTTAGATCGTCATTCATGTGAATTGCGTTGCCAGCCAGGTTGAATTTTATTGTCGTACGATACTTCTTGCAAAAGCGAGAAATACTGGAACTTTATGAAGCTGCCTAGACAAACTACTACCGGAAATTCTAGGCTATAATTTGCAAAGAAACATTAATGCATGAACAATAGTTGCTGACTTTCTAATTTAGATAATGCGTTGGCAGAATCACAAGTACCATCCAGATGTTCGTTACCGAAAGATGAAGGTACCGGTGATGGTTACAATGTCAAATGGTATTTCAATGTTCGTAATCTACGGTGTGAGCAAATGGTATTCCGTGGATACGGTGGTAATGACAATCAGTTTTCAACCCACGAAAGCTGTCGACAGTCATGTGTTTGTAAGTATTAAAGATTACTTAACCATTTTGAGTTTCGATTTGTATCGTAATCCCTATATCTTCAACAGATTCCTTTCCAGTAAGTGCTGTTAAAACTTCTGAAGTTCCATCACAATCGGCGTTCAATGAAAGAGACGGCTCGAGTTTCAGTCATAGTAAAGAAAATATTTATGAACTTCCGACTTCAACACCAGATTCAGCTACCAAAGAATCTCACATATCCTCGCAAAAAGGCTTTTTGTACGTGAATAATGTAGCTGCTTAATTAAAAGCAGCAATAAAAAGCAATGAAATATAAATGACACAACTCCCTAGTTATTTCGTTCTACTGGTTTCTATTTTTAAGTCGTTTACAAAAATTCTATAATTATCAGGGATTTTAATGTTATAATTACTCTAGCCTTAGAAGAAATTTCGATTATTATTTATTTATTTAAGGCCATCTGTGCATCGTCAACCAGAAGAATACTTGAAGTTTTCCAAGCCAACAGATGAAACTATTGTTCGAGAACCGGCACCACCAACTGCTGCAGACAAAGACCTTTTCTATCCTGATAAAGGTTTGATAATGACTACAACTCAAGTGCTGCTCAGCCAGTTCAAGGATTTTTTGGTTACGTGAAAGAAAAAGTTTTGTGTCAAAGGTGTACCTAAATATCTTCCTTCTAGAAGTTTCGAAGGCAAATAATGTGAACTACCAGGAGGCAGCCAAAGGTCCAGCACCACTACCATCTTTTGAAGTGCCTCCTGTACCACCTTGCGCAAATGGGGAACGACCAGTTACACAGCGTGATGGTAGTCCCCTGCTTTGTCTGCCGGGAAAACATCAATGTCCTCAGAACTATGAATGTTTCTTCAATGGCATTAACTTCTTCTGCTGCCCCAACGCTGAAGACCCATACGATAAACATGTTTTTGGAGGTAAAAAAACATTAACAAATCATATCATCATAACGCATTTAAGCTTCATACAAATACAAGTATGTATATGGGCCATTCCATGCCAAATCGCACACA